TTTCTTTTAGAATCAAGACTGGATCTTTGTACCAGAAAATTGCCTGTCTATCCTTGAATGTCAAGGATTATGTTCATCATTTTTTGTGCAAGGTGTGTGTGTGGGGGGGGGAGGTTTTACATATGGAAATTTCTTTTCTGAGCACAACCGCTGCAAAGTTGGACCATCTTTATTCAAATTTATAGCTTGCTGGAGTGTGAAGGTTCATGAATATTCTCTAGTAATATTTGAATTCCTCAGTTCTGCAGAGGTGTCAGCTCTCATTCATATGGGAAAGTAAGTCATTTAGCCCCTACTGATTTTGTTTCAGCAGGTGGTCATATTTTTATCAAATGCAGGAAATCCAGAGGAGACACTTTACAAGATAGTATTGTTTAGACATTTGGCATATTTGGCAGTTACTAGAATATTTTATTACAGTTTGTATAAAATTAAAAGGGACATGCTTTATTATTATTATTTCATGACTTGAAATTTAGCTAATTTGATCTCAGCTATATGGTTTCTTTGTAATTATTGGCTGCTAAAGTTAATAACTGAATTTCTAAGGATATCATTAAAATAATAGATAATAACACAATTCTTTTTGGAATGATAGAATGAATTATGTACTTCCCATCAGGTATACATAGTTGAATACTTTGTTCTCTCATTATCTCTTCCAACAACAACCTTTTGCTATACAATTTTTAAGCATTATCCGATGAATTAACTTTATTATCGTGAAAATATACATATGCCAATTACTGTGTTTTTCTCATTTTGTTAACGTAAAAATATTAAGGAATACCAGATCTGCAGTACAAAAATCCAGAAGACCACCATACGGCAGTAAAAATTTAAACGTTTTTCATATTCTTTGGTGGAATCTAGAAGATGTCCAAATTTTTGCATTTCTCATTGGATGCTCTTAATACCAAGCAATAATAATATCATTGGTGGAATCTACCGTAGTAGATGTCCAAATTTTTGCATTTCTCATCTTAATACCAAGTAATAATATCAGTTCAAGACTTTCTCAGTGCTTATGAACCTAATTATTTGAAACTTAGAAAATTAACTTGTTTGAAGAAGTATGAAGTTCAGCACTCCATTAAGGTGATACAAGCAATGGCAGCTGTTCTTATATAGTCTACTGTAACAATTATAGTCGTCATAAGCAAATAATTGCAAAAGAAAGGCAGAAAGTATTAGCTATAGTATAGCTACAGTCTTTTAAACCATCCACAGTTACAGACAAGTCAGGACCAAACCTAATAGAAAATATTCAGATTACTGTCACCTTAGTTCTAACTTCATATTCTTTTGAAAATATCTCAAACATCACTGCTTCATCTTGTTTCCTGTCTGCTGCTGCCTCAGGCATTCTCTCAACAGCTTTTTTGGGATGCCATTTTACTTGTGTACTCCTGGATGCTTTGGGATTCATCCATGACAGTGGCTTTGACACTCGTTGGACTCCATATACTCGCTTTCTGGCTGGTGTTCAGCCTACAGTTGTTGAATTTGGGGTACAATCCTCCATGTATTGTGAGGAGCTTCCATCAGCAAGCTCTATGTTTTCCTTTGACCAGCTCACTATACCAGCAGGGTATCTGATGACTTATAGGGCATATGTGTTGATGGTATGGATCATGTTCTTCCCATTGAGCTGACTCTTTAGGACAGGGGTGTCAAACTGCCGGCCCATGGGCCGGATGCGTCATGCCAAAACCGCGCCCACCCCATTGCTAGCAATGGAAAAAAGTCACAATACATCACGACACGTCATGTGAGTTGCGAGATTGACACCCCTGCTTTAGGATATCCTTTGGTGATACTTGGATGTTGCTATGTTTCTTGCTTCCTCATTGTGGTTCCCACGTGACTGTGGAATACCTAGGTACTTGTAGCTGATCTGTATGTCCGCTATGTGTCCCCCTGTTAGTTCCACTCTATCAGTCTTATCTACCTTACCTTTCTTGACTACCATTCCAATAACCTCATTGTAGATCCATGTCAGGTGAATCAGTGAATCAATGTTTTGATCACACTTAACATACAGTTGATGTCATCCATGTAGCGAAGATGGTTGATGTTAATTCCACTCTTGAACTTCTATCCATCCAGTCTTGTGATTATCTTGCTGAGGGAAATCAAGCCTATCCAGAACAGCAGTGGGAACAGTTATGTGTCTTCTCTTTTTCCCACATGTTCCTCCAATACTGTTCAGTTTCTGTTGTTGGTAGGTGTGCTCTTACGGTGGTTGTTGCATGGCAGTTGAAAGTACATCTTGGATGGTTGTTTGGAGAACAGGGCATATATCATCTTGGCCTCTGCTTCTCTAGCATACCTCTTTAGCCTGGTAGCCAGTGCTGTTTAGCAGTCTCTGGGGCTTCAGATGCAGTCAAGTCCTTCTATTTTTTTCAGTAGCTAAGTCTTATCCTTAATCTTCACATCCTTCTGTAGTTCCACCAACTGACTAATCTCTCTCCAAGTTGCCTTGGTTTTAGCTTCTAACCTTATTTTTCATGAAGGGTATGTACTCTATTCTCTTTGATCACATAGCCAACCATATCCAGGAATACAGTGGCTGTAGTGTATATCAGTTCATTGGTCTGAGTTATGGTGGCAATCGGGATTGTCACAAGGGTTCTATTAGCATTTCCTAGCATAGTATCTGATAGTACATCTCCACCGAGCCTTGGCAATTAGTCTCAAGGGTTGACTGTAGTTAGTTTATCCAAGATCTTAAGCCTCATATTAGCTTCTGTGCCCTGTAATGGAGGGGGTTACAATGATGTAACCCTCAGGTTCCACATTCAGATGTTGCTGCATAATCATTGTTCTTCCGGTATTCTTGAGACCGGTATGTAATGAATAGTTGTTCAATCTCTATTTGTGAAATTGTGTGTTGAAGTGTTGGTCAACTAGCTGTTTCTCAGTGTGGATGCAGGTCTTTTCTGCATTCATCGTTCCTTCAAACATTTCATATATTTCCTCTCATTAGGTTTGCTGTTGTATAGAAGTATCCCATAATTTCAGGGTGTCTTGTCTCATTTGTGTATGGTTAGTCTCAATAGGAAAAAGTCTTCTTGGTTGATGCCAAATGAATATTGGCACTGCAGGGATGATCTCAGTGGTGTTCTATATGGAGCTAGATATTTTCTCAAATAGTCTACTCCCTATAAAACATTACTGGATAATATAGAAGGTAACGTGTGATCTATCAGTTTTGGAAAAGATGTATCTTCTAATCAAAGGATGCAGCAATATGTCTTACTGTAGCAGAGTTTTTATGATTTTTGCAACTATATTTTATATTGATTATATTATGTAGTATATGTAGTAGTAAAACAATAACTATTGATAAGTATAATATAAAAAGTATTTTTTTCCTTTTTTTCTTTTCCCTCGTTTAGGATAGTCCAGTTTTGTTTTGTTTTGTTTTTCCTATTTTATTATTTGGTTTGGTTTGTACTAATTTATTCTTTCCTTATGTTTAGAGATTGGTTTGTTAATCATGTGTATTAAAAATGTAAGATTAAAAATAAATAAATACAATTTTAGAAAACGTTGAACAATATAGAAATCTTTAACCACTTTGGTTGCAAATCTATATTCAGTGCAGTTATTTAACCAACACAGCAATATTGCTGCTTCGTTTTACATTAAGCGTAGTTGTCATGCATAGGTTGTATAACTTTACATTTATACCGTTAACAGATGTACATATGAAGGTTTTGGTCTAGTCACCCTATCTAATTTTGCCCTGTTTTTTTCAAGGTCTACATTGCCTAGCAACCTTGGCTCTTTTATGACTTGTGGACTTCAACTCCCAGAATTCCTGAGCCAGCATGGCTGGCTCAGGAATTCTGGGAGTTGAAGTCCACGAGTCATAAAAGAGCCAAGGTTGCCTACCTCTGGCCTAGCATGACTTCAGAATAACAGATTTCATCTATGTTATTTGTGTGTTTGAATTTTTGTTTCCTTTTGTAACATCTGAGCAGAGCTTTTATCTTAGTCTGAAATGTTATAAGGTTTCCTGCTTGGCAGGGGGTTGGACTAGAAGACCTCCAAGGTTCCTTCCAACTCTGTTATTCTGTTATTCTATTATCTGATTAATATAACAGTAGCACTACTACTCATGAAAGCACATCTAATATTCAATACATTTGGACACATATATAAAAAATATTTTTAAGCATTCTGTCTGCTTCTTAAGAGAGAAGGGGGGGGGAGCCCTTTTCCCTGCCATAGTAGAGTAATGCCAACTGTCTCCCGACATGAAAGATAAAAAGATGTCTTCAAATGAAGTGGTCTTCCTGGACAAACAGGTAGCAAGAGCTGGAAAAAAATAACCAGAACTATCAGGTACAGATGGAAGTGGACAGTCTAAATTTCAATAAGGCCGTCAGATCTATTTCATGGTGAAAATAAAAATGAGGTCAATTAGAAATCAATTCTGCTTCAGCTATAACAATATACCACACTTCTTGTCATAATAACTAAATTTGCCTTATTTTTTTTCCAGTGGACACCTACCAGCTAAGGATGAGAAAAGTAAATTGGGGAAACATTGTCTTTTATCAGAGGAAGTAGTTTCCATGAATCTTCTTTTTCTTAATCCCATTCTTATATAGTTGTGCTGAGACATATCGTCTGGACCATGGAATTCCAAGAGTACTCATAAAGCTTCATTAAAGGTCTTGCTTCACTGTAAGAAATCCCCTATTAAACTTATAGTATTCTGACTTGAGTTCCCACTGACTCACGCAACATGCTGAGTGCTGTAAAAGCTATTTCAGTAATGTTCCCCAAATGAACCATACCTTCCTTCTCTCCTTCTGGATGATCTGGATCATTTGCACGACAGCTAGGGGGTCTTTTGGTTCTCTCCTGTCTCAACTTAGTATTCTTCTCTTTAGCTGGTTTCCATTTGTTTTCCACGCCTTTATAGTAATGTAACGTTACTGGTTTTATTTTTCATTTTCCCCTCATACCTAATTTGCTTGTTGCAGGTTAAATGTGATCAGTATTGGCCAAGCAGAGGAACAGAAACATACGGATTGATTCAAGTCACATTGCTGGACACCGTAGAATTGGCAACATATTGTGTTAGAACATTTGCCCTTTATAAGGTATGTTTGTGTTATGCAAGCATTGAGTATCTTTTGATGAAACAAGGTTGTTATTTAAGTTTTGGCAGTATCACAAGCAAGTCTTCAAATTTCTGTATAAAGAGGATTAAAGGTCTTTACATTGATGTTCAAAATGTGGACTTACAGAAAGAATGTGCAAGAAATATGCAATTCAGTTATTTTCAATAGCAAAATTCCTTGAAATAAACAGATGTTCTGGAGGTCTTTTGTCCAAATTTTCCACTGAAGAAAATGTCGTAAAATTCTTGCTGTTTTAAGCCATATTTACAACTATGGAGCATTTCCACCATTAAATCTAAAAAACTATTATAAAATTTTTTTACACATTCTATTTTGTTCTCCTCTTGACAGTCACAGTACATGGCTTCTTTTTCTCCTGTCATCCTTTCACCCCCCCCCCCCAAAAAAAAACTAGACTAGCTTTTTGACTTTTTTCTTATATAAAATCATTTTTCATAACTATAGACAAAAATACTGAATACTAAATGCCATGCTTGTGCTAATTCTAATCAAATACTTAATTACTGCAATAAAAAAGGATAAAAATAAAATTTTTAGACTAACAATAAATTTGTTTCACTTGATTTCATGATGATTGCATTCTGATGCATTGTTTTGGCACTAAAAATAATGTTAGAATGTAAATATTTTATATGTTAGAATGGATCGAGCGAGAAGAGAGAAGTTAGACAATTCCAGTTCACCGCGTGGCCAGATCATGGCGTTCCAGAACATCCAACACCATTCCTAGCTTTCTTACGTCGAGTTAAAACTTGTAATCCTCCTGATGCTGGACCAATGGTCGTTCACTGCAGGTAAGTGCAAATTTTGTATCAACAAGATTGCCAAATATTATGAAGCTCTCATAAGCCAGCATTTCACAGTTTAATATTCTAAATATTTTCATACATTGCATTTCATTTATTTTTCTCCTGTTATCTGGCAAATTTACTCATTACATATACAAGCCAGAATTGCAGAACAAAAAGAGACATGCAGAATTGCAGAACAAAAACAGGTAGGATGTAGTCCATGCATGCACTCTCTAGGAATCACTTAGAAACTTAGAGTAGTAATTTCTAAAATGTTATCTTGCAGATCATGATCTTCTCCTAGCAGTCATCTAATGAGTGTTTTCTCTGATATGTATGTTTGTAGATCTACATCAGGGTATAGAGATATAGAGTCCATTCATGCAAAACTTTTACTAGGCATATTCTACAATCCTTCTTATAAAATCCCCCTCCCTGCCACATCTCCATTCCTGAAGCAGCTTTTCAGATTTCTGACAAAAGTGGTAAGATTACAGGAATGGCATCAGCATATGCAAGCGTGCCTAATATCCTGAAGCAGATCCTGCTTGTTGCAGCATCTTTAAAAGGTATATGATATGATATATGATATGATGATATGATATGATATGATATGATATGATATACGATATATGATGTGATATATGATTTCAAAAATATTTTTCCAAGAAAAAGGTGTTTATTTCAAGCTTTGATTTTTCAAAAACTATTTCAAGACAACATATTTTTAATTAATAATTTCCATAGCGGATAATGTGAATTCTTTAGATACAGTATAGTTTAATTACAGCAAAACATCTGGTAAAATATTCTTGACATTATTGTTCAATCTGAACTAGATGGCATAAGGTAGAAACATAGCTGGATCAAAAATGAATTAATTATTAAGAGTTAATATTGTGAAAATAGGATATGTGTATATTTGCCTTCAAAGAGAAGTCTGAAGAAAAAATATGAAGGCCTTCTTCAAATAATGAGAGAACTGTCATACAATAGCTGATAGTTGGGACCAGTTCTTTAGCATCCTGAAATGCTGTACTTAGAGTAAGAAGGATGATCCCATTTATAATTAGAGAAATACTACTGATTCCCCTAATGAAATGCTCTGGGGAATCACTTATCTAGAAAGATGGTAGGGTCCCATTATTTGATAATTAATTTGATTAATAAATAATAAACAAATGAATAAGAGCATTAAATAGCCACCAAACAAGCCATGAAACCAATACACAGGAGCTCAACTATCTTTCTAACCCATATGGCTGGGCTTACGGGCTTTCCAAAAGGCCAACAGGAGCTTAATGGCAATTTTGGCCAATATAAAAAGATACCCTGAAAATGGGCATTTAAGCTTGAGAGCTAAAGTAAATATTTCATGCCAAAAATCTACTTCCCAGAGGGGAAACAGGTCTCAAAAGTGTAGTTCTCGCCATTTTTTATTACCATATTTATCAGTACACGCTGCCTCCCATCCCAGCCACTGCAGCTCAAAAACATTATTCACTCCTGGTGTAACTGTTACACCACTACCCTCTCTTACCCCACAATATTTTTACTTAACATTTCATTCATGGGGTTGCATAAAGAAGGCATATTTGTAGTGTTAAGGAGCATAGTAGGAATCCTGAGTATTAATATCACAAAAAATTATTTGAAACTTATGGATATGATTTTAAGAATGCAAAAAAAGTTTCTGACATATTTAAAAAAGTAAGAATGAAGAGTTACATCTAATATAGTAGCCAGTACTGAATGAATTGATTTCGTCATTGGCTACCCAGGCAAACTAAAACTCTAAAGGATATGTGAATGGCCTGCTATAATCTGTCCCCTTAAAATGTTGATTGTGTAATAAAATTGTGGCTCCAATCCAAAGAGTTAGTCATTCTTCAGTTCCATTTAAATCAATGGGATTGGATGGTTGTGATTATCTTCTCCCATTGAGTACAAAGGGCTTTAAGATATAACAAATTTTCAAATGATTGTGACCCATCACAAATTACAATGCCAAACCAAGAGTACAAAAGCAAAAGCAGCTGCAATCTGGCAATTGTCATATGGCCATTTCTACAGGAAACCAAAATTTTAAAACAATGGCATTAATTGCAGAAGCCAGTATAATTGCATTTAAATGATTATGTTCCTCTTTGCTTACATCTGATCCAGGCATCTTCTCTTGGCTGCTCAAATGTGCTGATGAAGAGGCTGGAGCAAGTCCCAGTGAGGAACATTTAGATATTTTTAGAGCAGAAAAATAAAGGAAATAAGGTGGCTATATTGGATATCTAACAAGCAGAATTTCAAGGGGGTGAAGATTAATAAAAGGAAGCATTTTTCAAGTAGAGTAGTGTTCACTTGTATAATCACGTTGAGGAACTATAATGATGGTTGTGAGCCCTGATTATTCTAATGAGCAATCACATAGTAAAAATGGAGACATGCTCTTCTCAATGCCAATCCATGAGCAACATATGTGAGAAGGTGCTATTGGGATGCATGTCCTCCTTATGGCTTTCCAAACTGTGAAAACGATGTGGCCAAAATAGATGTTTTTATTTTTACAGAGAATTTTAATATTGCCAGAAAATACTTGAACATTCAGATATTTTGCGTATCAACCAAACAGCTTTAATTACAAATTATTCTATAAATTTTGGCATTTCCAGTTAGTATAAGAACCATTTCCTCAGATTCTCAAATCTAAAAAAATGAAAGTATATATATTTAAAACAATGATAACAATGCAGTGGCCCTGGGTGACAAGCCACAATACTACCTTGAAATGGCATTTGCACAATCTCAACTTTGCAAAGTTTTATTTAAAACAGAAAAATAAATTCCTGAAAGCAGTACGACTAAAAGTAGTAAATCTAGAGAAATGTTGGTGTTCTCATAGGAATTAATTTAGAAAGCATGACATGAGATTGCTCAAGGTTAAGATTGCTGGAATGCCATTTTGATTTTATTTTTTAAAATCACTGTTGATATTTTCCCAATATCCAGTTAATATTATTCAATTTTAACTTTGTTCTCTAATACTTGTGCTGATAGTAAACATAATACACTCTTTTTCCTAATTCGTCTGTTTCTGTTTCTTCAGGTTTTAATTCTAAAATGCTTGCTGATTCTTAACACTATCCTACTTTTAGCTTTTCTGTAATGTGCTTCTCATTAGCTTTCCTTGATATCACATCCATTCTCATGTTTCTATTATGTTTTTTCACATCTTACTTTCTGTTCTTGTCATTTTTTTTATCATGATGCTCTTTTCTATTAAGGATTTCTTTGGCTTCTGCTCATTCAATTTAATATTTACTTTTCAATCTTTCTCACCTTTAAATTATTCATTAATTTTTTTCCTTTCTTATTTTCCAATAATTTTACATGTACTTCTCCTCATGCATTTCACCTTGTTCTGTTTTGTATCAGCTGTTTTTGTTGGTTTTTAAAACAACTGTAGAATACCTTGATGCAGGCTACAGAGGTGTAGAACAATAAATTTAGGTTTATTTTTTTATTTTTGTTGTTTTTGTTCAGTGGGAATGAAATGTTTTATGTACAATTTCTTCCATATTTGAAGATATGGGTGTGATTGTTGTTCCTGTTAAAAATAGGAAAATTGATACCAAGAGGAATGGCAACAGGCAAGGGAGTGCAGTGGATCACATGGTTAGGACGCTGGGCTGACAATTGGCAGGCTCCCGTTCGAGGCCTGATTGCTGCTACAAGGCAGGGTGAGTGCCCATCACTCGCTCCAGGTCCTGCCAACTTAGCAGTTCAAATGTGGGCAACCTTGAGTAGATAGATGGGTACCACTTCAGTGGGAATCTTAATGAGGACATGAAAGGAGCCCCCAACTAGGTATCCTCCAGGCAATGGTGATGTCATCACTAATCCCTTCAACCCCAAAGCACTTCAGTACTCCCAACTCAACCGTGGTAGTAGCAGGGGCAAATCCAGTATTTGGAGAAATAAAATGATGATGATGATGTAAAAAAAAGGTGTGACATCAGGAACTCTTTACCAGTAAGGATTCAACCTAGTCATTGACTATGCAATATGAATGAATTATGGAAGAGAAGAGGAAGAATTAGATAACTGGGATACAAAGATAATGAAATTAAATAGATTTGAGCCCTACAATGGAGTGTGCATTCTGTTGTAGATCTTACTTGTTTTTCTTCATTCTGAAAGGTTGTACTGCACGATTTTCTTTCATCTTCATTTTGAAATATTAAAATCATTCTGCAGACATGCTGCATTTTCTACGGTCTTCATATAATGTTCTAACACGAACAACGTAACCTGCAATTCAAACTGTGCTTACCAAGAAATAAATCGTGCCATTTATTTCTAAAAAATGTTTAGAATCACTGTGAATACTCTGTCCTTTTTTTTGTGACAACTTAGGAATGGGCTGAATCAGAAACAGACCTTATCAGAATACTTCGTTACTGAAGGATGAAATGTAAAAAAATGTGGCTTAATCTTTCTATAATGGAAATATTTTACAATCTGAATGGCTTCCTGGCATTTTCTGATCGCTGTTCCCAAAATTCTCAGCCTGCACACAGTGGTCCCTGAGAGCATGACTATGTTCTGTAAATCCTACCACATGCAGAAAGCAGTGATATTGAGGAAGACTGCACTACAATTTCTGTTTCATCAGATATGCAAATGGTTGAGGCTATATCTTTCAATAACACTTGCAAGCTACTCAGTAGAAATTGAATTTGCCTAATTACCATTCAGAAGATCCCTCAGGTTTTCTTGATGGTGAGATCTGTGCAGCCTAACGTTATTCAGAAAAAAAATTAATTGGTTTCTTGCTTGTTTGTTTGCTCGGTAAGTGACTAAATCAGACAAGCTGCTGAATTTTAAAGCAAAGACAGGTATAGTCCAGAATGTTATGGCTTAATGTCACATATTTTTTGAGATGGGTGTGGAATCATTTTCAGTAGAGCAGTTTCTCCTTGTGCATCCTACACTGGCAATAACTAAGT